TTGCTGTGAGCTGTGATGCCAGGGCACTCTACCCAGGGGGACAGCTTGAGGCTCTGTCTCAAAAAAAAAAAAAAAAAAAAAGAGTTTACTCTCTAAAATAAAATAATTTAATGTGCTAATTTTTTCATGAAAGTGGATTAAAACTATTGATGTATATGAGCCCTTATTCACAAACTTCTAAGCTCTTTACAGGTAGTAATTCATTAATCCTATATCAGAGAAACAGATGGCAGGAATCTTTAGTCTAATGCCAGAAAAAAGTTAAATGCAATTCAGATCAGGCAGAGAACCAGCAACTTGGTGGCTACTGAACCTATAAGTAAAACTCAGGACCAGTGGCTCCTAAGCACCTGCTGTTACAAAGCAAAATACTCCCCTCGACGGGAAGTAGGTGACTGTCAGAGATAAATTCTACACCAAAACAGATTCCCAACATATTCTACTGATAATTGAATCCATCAAGAGTGAAGTTCAGCCAGCGTGATGGCTCACGCCTATAATCCCAGCACTGTGGGAGGCTGAGGAGGGAGGATTGCTCGAGCTCAGGAGTTTGAGACTTGCCTGAGCAAAAGTGAGACCCCGTCTCATGAAAGAAATGGAAAAACCCAGCCGGGCGCCACACCGAGCACCTGTAATCCCAGCGACTTTGGAGGCTGAGGCAGCAGGATGCCCACAGCAGGAGTCTGAGGTTGCAATAAGCTCCAACACCACTGCACTCTGCTCAGGGCACAGAGTAGAACTCTGTCTTGACAAAACAAATAAACAAAGAGGCCAAAAAAAAAAAAAAATGAAGTTGAAAACTGCAACTAGACTTCATTCAGACCAACAAGGACAAGAGTTAAGAGATAATAACAGGAACCATAAGTAAAAATGGAGAGTAATACTATGGAAAGAAACATTGGCTATTATCAAACATAAATGTCCTAAACTGCTTAAGATTCAGGTTTTCTCTAAGGATAAAACTTTATGAAAAACAGGGCACTTTTAAAAGCAAAATCCTAACAACAAAAATTATTTAGGCCGGATGCAGTGGCTCACACCTACATTCCTAGCACCCTGGGTGGCTGGGGTGGGTGGACTGCCAGAGCTCACAGATTCAAGACCAGCCTGAACCAGAATGAGACTTTGTCTCTAAGACTAGCCAGGCGGGTTGGCCGGCACTTATAGTCCCAGCTACTTGGGAGGCTGAGGTAAAAAAACTGCTTGAACCCAAGCGTTTGAGGTTGCTGTGAGCTATGATACCACAGCACTCTATGAAGGGCAACAAAGTGAAACTCAGTCTCAAAAAAAAAAAAAGAG